GCGAGCCGCAGCCTGCTGAGGAAGAGAGCTGTATACAGACGACTGCCGCCAGGCTGACCCTACTGACAGCTGTAATAGAAATGCAGAAGGCATCCAAATGTGAACGCTTCACGAATTTGCACATTTGCTTAGGCTGCTGTTTAAATTACTTTCCCTTCCTCCGTGCACCTGGCGGGGGTCGGGGCAGGTGCTCCCCAGGCTGCGCGCTGGGGCGGGGTGATGCTGAGACCAGCTGGGTGCCTCGACCCTGCTCAAACTTCACCAAGAGGACCGTGGCGCGTCGGCCCGGAGGCACCGCCCCTCTGCCTGGGCGGCTTTCTCACGACCATTCTTCTCTCTTCTTCCGTCTTTGTCCCTTCTGTGTGCCCCTCTCCCGACACCCCGCCCGCGCCCCACCTCTGTCTGTCTCGTCCGGCCTGGCTCACGCTGCGAGCAGGCACCTCCGTCAGCCTCCTCGCCGTCGTAGTTGTTGTGTGTGGCGTGGCCCTGGTGGCAGTTTTTCTCTTTCTCTTTTGGAAGCTGTGCTGGATGCCCTGGAGGGGCAAGGAGGCCTCCAGCCCCAATTCTGCTAACCCCCTCCCGGAGGCCCTCCAGAGCCCCAGCTCCAGGGGCATCATGGCGGACAAGCTGAAGGACCCCGGCGCGCTGGGATTCCTGGAGACGGCTGTGAAGATCAGCCACACGTCCCCAGACATCCCCGCCGAGGTGCAGATGTCCGTCAAGGAGCACCTCATACGCCACACGCGGCTGCAGAGACAGACCACGGAGCCGGCGTCGTCCACCAGGTGAGGCCGCGCCGTGCACCTGCCTTCTCGCCCTGGTGATGACGCGCGGACTTGGGCTGCAGGCCACAGCGTGGGCCCCTGGCGGGGGGCGGGGGGCGCGCGGAGAAGGTGGCAGCAGTCAGCCTCGCTGTGTGGCTGTCGAGCGGGAGTGTCACCCTTCGGGTGTGGCCGAGGCTCTGCGGAGGGCCACTGTCGTAAAGGCGGTGCACCCCAGCTTAGCTGGGCGGCAAGATGGCCGCGGACCTGATGAGGTGCCCGTGGTGGGCGGTCATCAAGGAGGTGGGCACCAGGAGGCTTCAGAAGAGGCGACTTTGAGGTGGGAATCTGCACATGGGCTGAGCATGCATGTGGGGGGTCGGGTATTTGGGGGGCTCAAGCGGAGGAAGAGCCTGGGCGAGGCCCAGGGGTGTGGCACTGAAGCCTGGTGGCCTGTGTCTGTGTGCCTGGGGGATGAGGCTGGCCTGTCCCTAACACAGAGGATTCCTCTGTGACCTTTGCCAATTCTGCACGTGATAGCAGTGATGTGGCATTTTTTAAATTGCAAAACCGAAAACACCCCATATAATAACAAAGGCTACTCAATTCAGACACTTTTTAAAGTTTGGGTGTATACGGACACGAGGCACTGTATTTCTTTAAAACTCAGGAATCTGGGCCCTCAGTGCTAAAGCGTAGCACTGAGAAGCTAAAGCCACTTCAGCACGAGTTCGATCCCCACCCCGGAGGTGACCCACATGGCTCTGCAGACCTCTCCTGACCCCCCCACTGCTCCCCTCAGCAGTGTACTTCATCTGTCTGCCTGTTCCACTCCCCACTCTGTCCCTGGTGGCCCTCTCACCCCCCTGCACCTCTGGCCTGTACTCTAGTTCTGTACGCATAAATAAATAAATCTTTAAAAAAAACAAACTCAGGAATCCGGTGATCCCTGGGTCCATGCAACGTCTCCTGGGGGAACATCGCCAGGGAAGGAAGCCGGATCTGCGGATCAGAGGCCAAACAGCGAAGTGTGGGGGTCAGAGGTCCAGAGTGCGCTGGGTGACCTCAGGCACTGACTGAGCTTACCTTTCCCAAACCCCCATTTTCCAACTGCAAAGTAGGGCTAGTGAGGTTCTCAAGATTGCGCTGAATAGCCATTGAAAGAATCCTTCTGATAATTGGCCCTTCCAGCCCTTTATATGTATGAATTCATTTCGTTCTCATAGCGATTGCACGATCCTATGCAATTGCTCCTTTTATTATTCTCAGTTTATAGCACAGGGAGGTTAAATAACTTAACCAAGTTCACCCAGCTTGAAAATGGCAAAGCCACATGAATGCAGACGGCTCGAACACGGGAGTCAGCAGTGGTCTGAGGGCGGTGGTGATAGCAGAGGGGTCCTGCGTGGAGCCCAGGAATGGCCAGGCCTTCTCTAAGGGGTCTCGTGCTTTAATCTGGGACCCAGGGCTGGGTCCTGGGAAAGCAGCCTTGAAGCAGGGAGCAGGAGAATGGAAAAGAATAATCACTGCCGTGGCTAACACCGAGCTTACTGGACACCAGCCTGTTCCTATTTCAGCTGCCCCTTGGGGCAACGCAGGTTTGAACTGGGCCGCCTCACTTACGCACAGGTGTTCTTCTGTCCCCACCCTGAGGAGTTCAGCTAGCTGCGGGGTGTTGCTTGGTAGAATCTGCGTTCACCGAGAGGGAGAGTAATTATACCAGTCATTCTGATTTTCTGCTGGGAGGGAGTTGGGGCCCCATTCCCTGCTGTTCAACGGCCAACTTTTTTTTTTTTTTTAAAGATTGATTTTTTTATTTGTGCATACAGAACTGGGGTACAGGCCAGAGGTGCAGGGGCGGTGAGAGGCTTCACCAGAGACAGAGTTGGGGGCAGAACAGGCGGATGGGCGATGTCCACTGCTGAGGGGAGCAGCGGGCGGGCCAGGAGAAGTCTGCTGCGCCATGTGGTCACCTCCGGGGCAGGCGGGAATCGAACTCATGCGGAAGCGGCTTTAGCTTCTCAGTGCTGTGCTTTAACACACTGAGCCACCAGGGAGGGCCCGCCATAGTATTTTTTTTTAAAAGATTTATTTATTTATGCATACAGAACTGGGGTACAGGCCAGAGGTGCAGGGGCGGTGAGAGGATTCACCAGAGACAGGGTTGGGAGCAGAACAGGCAGATCTGCTGAGGGGAGCAGGTCAGAGGTGTGGTGGATGAGAGCATCCACCAGAGACAGATTCAGCAGAACAGGCAGATCACCGAAATACACTGCTGAGGGGAGCAGCGGGTGGGTCAGGAGAGGTCTGCCGCACCCTGTGGTCACCTCCGGGGCAGGATCGAACTTGCCCTAAAGGGGCTACACCTCGCTTTCAGTGCTGCGCCCTAACCCGTTGCGCCACCAGGGAGGCCCCAAAGGCCAACTTGTACTTTCCATGGATTAAGACCCCAAATGTGTGCAAAGTGTGTACACAGAGGAGGGGGTTCACAAGCCCCAGGAAAAGGGGGCCTCGGGAGGGGTGCAACCAGCGGCTGCACAGTCACCTGCCTGCCTCTCCCTGCGCACCCCTGACCGCGCTCTCCTTGCCTGCCCACCTGCCCGCCAGGCACACGTCCTTCAAGCGCCACCTGCCCCGGCAGATGCACGTGTCCAGTGTGGATTACGGCAACGAACTGCCGCCCTCCGCGGAGCAGCCCACCAGCATCGGCCGCATCAAACCCGAGCTCTACAAGCAGAAGTCGGTGGATGGGGACGAGGCCAAATCTGAAGCCGCGAAGAGCTGCGGGAAGATCAACTTCAGTCTCCGCTATGACTATGAGAGCGAGACCTTGATCGTGCGCATCCTGAAGGCCTTCGACCTCCCCGCCAAGGACTTCTGTGGCAGTTCTGACCCTTATGTCAAGATCTACCTCCTGCCTGACCGCAAATGCAAGCTGCAGACCCGGGTGCACCGCAAGACCCTGAACCCCACCTTCGACGAGAACTTCCATTTCCCTGTGCCCTATGAGGAGCTGGCTGACCGCAAGCTGCACCTCAGTGTCTTTGATTTCGACCGTTTCTCCCGCCATGACATGATTGGGGAGGTCATCCTGGACAACCTCTTTGAGGCCTCCGACCTGTCCCGGGAAACCTCCATCTGGAAGGACATCCAATATGCCACCAGTGTGAGTACAGCATGTTCCCTGGCTTGCTTGAGGATTTGTAGATCTGGATTGAGTGGGTCATGTCTCCATTTCCTCCTCCCCTAGAGACAAATGGACCTTTGGCTTTCCAGATGTGAAGGTCAACTCTGGAAGTTGTCCAGTGGTCCAGCCCACCTTCCTCTTTGCCGAAGGTTGGGGTACGGGGCAGCAGAACTCCCAAAAAGTTGGGAAGGGGAGGGAATTTGTGTCTATTGCTCTGATCGGGTGTTCTGGGTCGTTCTCTCTACTGCTAAGCCTCAGGTTTGCTTCTTATAAAATAATGTTGTCTATCTCTCTGATCATGGGTAAGGCTGGAGCAAACTTGTAGGTTGAATCAGGCAGTGGCATCTTCCAAGGGCACTAACGTTTGGAATAAACGGGCAGTCGGGCACAGGCTGTATTAGTCAGGGTGGCCCAGGTTATGCTGCAGCAACAAACAGCCCTAGGATTTAGTGGCTTCCAGCCTCCAGAACATAGTTCTCATTCACATTATGGGTGCTTTGCAGCCTGACTGGGGTACACACCACCTTGTTACTTGGGAATTCAACAGAGGCGCCATCTCCATGTTACCAACCCAGAAGGAGGAAAATGTAGAAAATCACAGTTTGTTTTTTTTTTTTTAAAGATTTATTTTTATTTATTTGTGCATACAGAAGTGGGGGACAGGCCAGAGGCGCAGGGGCGGCAAGAGGCTTCACCAGAGACAGAGTGGGGAGCAGAATAGGCAGATCGACGAAGTACACTGCTGAGGGGAGCAGCGGGCGGGTCAGGAGAGGTCTGCCTCGCCATGTGGGCACCTCGCACCTCTGGGGCAGGCGGGGATCGAACTCATGCGGAAGTGGCTTTAGCTTCTCAGTGCTGTGCTGTAACCCGCTGCGCCACCAGGGAGGGCCTCCAGTTGGTTTTTAAGGGTCAGGAGGAGACTTTGGTCCAGGGCGCTCTGGTCTGTGGTGGTTGTGGAGGAAGCTGTGGCGTTGCCCTCTGGGGCTAGATGGTGTCCCGGAGGTGTTTCCACAAGCAGCAGGGGCCTTGTGTCTGGCAGCTTGAGTCTGACTATTTTGTGCACCATTTCTCTGAGGCACAGGTGACCCCCTTCAGTCTGCAGACTCTCCCTTTGGGCAGTCAGTACTCAGTGTCTGTTGAATTTGTGAGGAAAACAACTGGTAAATATCAGCCCTGCTGTGGTGAGGAAAAGGTAGGAATTTTGATTTGTTCAATGAGAAAAGGCTTTGGTGGGCTCTGTTTCTGCCCCAGGGAGGAGCTCCCAGGACACCCCATTCTCGTCGTGGCGCTGACTTGGACCAGTGCAGTTTGATGTCCTGACGCCGTCCCCATGGCTGCTTTCCTGAAATCTCCCCAAAAGCAGCACCGGCAGCGGAGGGAGACGGGGCGGGCAGACGGGGCGGGCAGACAGGGCGGGCTGGAGCAGCAGCTGTGCTCCATAAATCACGCTGAAGCTTTGCATCTGGTGCAGCTCTTCCCATGCAGCCTCACAGGGCAGGAGGTCCATTACAAGTGCAGGGAGAGAAAAACAGCGCATCGTCCCCACCCTGAGGCCAAGCCGGGGGCTCCGGGCTGGTGGGGGAGCTGAGGGCCGGGGTCTGGGACAGAGAGCAACTCTGCCTTCCAGGAACCTCCCCTCCTGTCACTCTCGCTGCCCCGGCCAGTGAAGCCTCAGTCCCAGACAGCCCTCACCGGGATGGGATGCTGGCTTCTAGACCCTAAACTACAAGGGGGTGGTGGGGGGGAGGTGGTGGAGGGGTGCATTCTCTGCTCGCCTTTCATCCCCCTCCCCCACCCAGCCAGCTTCAAAAGAACAGATCACAAGAGGACACCCCCAAGTCTTTGCCATACCCCCGCCCACCCCAAGCAGAATGCTGTGCCAGACTGAGGAGTATGGGAGCTGTAAGAGGGGGCGAGCAGAAGATGACCGGCTTGACCCGAAGAATTTCCAATGCCACCACGGAGACAAAAAATGCGAAGTAGCAAATACCATATACATGTACAGCCAGGGACGTTTCTGCATGGAGGGGGGTGAAGCTGGTGGGGTCTAGTGTGTGTCTCCGTAGGCAGAGAGGACGGGGCAGCGTGGAGCCAGGAGCAGAGGAAGTCCGGGCCCCGGAGCTCCAGCTGGGAGGTGCCCTGTCTGGCTTGCCGGGGCCAGAGGGCCCTACCTGCATGAGGCCCCGGGGCCTCTAATGGCCTCTGCAGTGGCCTGGCCCTCAGAAGCAGACGCGTCACCCAGGCAGGAGAGACTCAGGCTGAGAACTGAGAAGGCTGCTACCTCTCCGTGTTTTTGGTGTTGACTCTAAAATTTTAATTGCTTGCGAGCGGGAGCAGCCCAAGTCAGTCTCGGGACACCTGCGGTGTGTACAAAACCCGGCAGCCAGCACGGAGGCGGCGTCCAGATGACTACCTCTGGCTCCCAGCTCTGCTGCCTGCCAGATTCCGCTCCTGAAGCGCCAGGGTGGAGCCCAGCAGCAGCCCTGCCTGCAGGCTGCTCCCCCGAGCACACCCTGCGTTCCTGCCTTTGCTCACAAGCTCCCCCTTCCTCTCTGCCTGGCCCAGTCCTACCCACTTGTCCCAGTGCTCCTCCAGGTCTGCTCCGTGTGCTGCGTCTGTATCTCGAATCTTACGCCGCCTTGCGAAGCCCTCCCAGTGGCTCCGGAAGGACTCGCGTTCCACATCCGACTTTCTCTGGTACTTTCCCTCAGAGTTGGACGTGCCGTTTTATGCATACGTCAGAGCCCCACACGTCCTTGATGAGTGACCAGCTAACTCAGTTAAGACCACGGAGTGGTGCACGAGAGAAGCACAATCGGCTCCTTCTGAGCGGCGCTGCAGGCAGGTGGTTTGTGTCTGAACAGGCAGGGCTCAGCCTGAGGAGCAGGTGATCCGGCTGCCGCAGTCGTGACCCCACAGGCTGAGCTGATGTAGCAAGGGGGCTCGGAAGGCGGCTCTGGGGCCCCAGCAGCCCTGGGAGTGGTGCCCGTTGCCCCTCCTGCTTGCTTGGACAACCTGGCTCAGGCCTGGCAGGACAAACTGACTGTCCTGGTGTGGGCCCTTGCCCCAGTGCTCCGGCTGGTTTGGGGCGTGCAGCTCCTTACGAATTCCAAATCTTAAGGTGCTTATTTGCCTTACCACCCCCAAGCTGTTCTGGAGGGAGGCCTGGGCAATAATGGACCAAATATACCCCTCCACGGTGCAGAAGGGTGAGAATCGGGCACACCGGAAGTGCCCGGCGGCTGGGGGCCTCTACTCACACCGAACCCAGAAGCCCAGGAGTGGGAAGGGAGTCTCAGGAATCCATCAAATCCACCCCAACCCCGGGCGGCTGCCCCTGCGTGTCCCGACTGGCCATTTTCTCTCCACCCCGGACGTCCACTGGCTGAAATCACCCTGCTCTTCCCTCCCGCTCTTCAGCCCTAGTCTCATTATTTCTCTATGAAGCTGTAGATTTATCATTATAATAGAACCGCCGACACCGGGCTCGCTCATGTCTCTGTAATCTTGTAATTATTGCTAAGAGGCCTCAGACCCAGCGCACACGACTGCTCCTGTCACTGTTCCGCTCCTGCTTGGGGGTGCGTGGGGGAGGCTCGGTTGGGGCTGTAAATATGTCCTGTGCGTGGGGCATGAGTGGACTCCACCCTCTTCCTGCCTGCCTGGGCCCCTGCCAGGTCAGAATGAGCATATGTGTGTTGTTTGGGAGGCGCTGGGGTGTTCTGTGTACTCCCAGACTCACAGCAGGGAGAAGAGAGGCCTTCTGTGCCCGGGCAGTCTCTGGTCCAGGGGTGAGAAGTGCTGTATAAAGAAGCCGGGCTTTGGTCCTAGCATCTGTACTTTCTACCTTTGAGACCTTGGGGACAACTGTGCCTCACATTGGTGAAATGGGGGTGATAATGTCTCCAGCTCATCCTGGTAGTTATGGAGTAAATAAAATCAAACATGCAAGATGCCCAGAGCAGCCTCCTGAGTTCCAGTCTCCGGGCACGCCCACTTGGGCCCAGACCGCCTGTCCCGGGTAGGTGATTATTCTCATTCCTGTCCTATTTCTTGTTCTAGTGAAGCTATGTCTTCTCTGTGTGCCCTTGGAAAAGTGACTTGCCCTCTCTGGGCTGCACTTCCTGCGGTATTAAACCAGCTTCAAAATTCTGCGCTCTCGAGACTCACTTCTCTAAAAAGCATGTGGCTCTTTTGCTTGCACAGAGCGGAGCTAGCTGGTTCCTGGGACTGTGGCCTCTACAACAGAGGCCCAGCACCAAGGACATGGGTAGGTCACTGCGAAGATTTCCAGAAGCACCCTCCTCCCCAAACTCTCAGTAGGAATGGCTCCTCTCTTCAAGCCTCTGGAAATGCCCTTGAGGGGTGCCCTCCCTGGGGAGGCCCACCAACAAGGTGCCTTCCTTCCCCCACCTGTGGAGGGAAGAACCTTCCCACCTGCATCCTGCCAGAGGCAGACCGCTGACACGCAGGTAGTTACCTGAGCTCCCTCTCTTTACGGCACACTTCTTTACCGCACCTCATCCTCCCCACCCTTATGACTCTCGCTCTATGGAAAACAAGAAAGGAAGCTTCCAGGTTCAGTGATGTCCCAGCGTCGCCCACAGCGAAAGTAGCAGGGAGCGGGGATTCCAGCCCAGCCTCTCTGCAGGGCCCATGGCCTTTACCGGGCGGGAAAGAAGCAGGTCCGGAAGGCTGCAGCTCGCCCGGGGTCCAGGACGGCCCGCTTCTGATTTTTCTTGGTGGCCGTCTTAGCCCTCTCGCTCACATCGGGGCATCTCGGGGGCACTGCTTGCACGGCCCTCGGCCTCCGCGCCGTCTCTCAGTATGTTTCCGTGGACACCGAGTCTGACACTCATTCTTTCATTCAACAAACACCGATGCGTGTCAGCCGAGTGCCGGCCAGCTCACCGCCGAGCATTCGCTGGATAGGAACCTCGATCTGAACTATGGAAAAGGTGGCAAGGAGCGAGCCCCGC